CTGTCAGTCACATCTTCCATCACTGTGCTGTTAATTTTGATTCATCTAAAAATTAGCGTGTAGCGTGTGAGCGTGTAGGTGAGTGAGAATGTGTGGTACACTGACACACACCCACACTCACATTCTCACTCACCCACACTCACCCACACTTATAGCCACCACAGTCATCCAGGTGTGAAGAGGAGGCTATGGGAGGTTAAAGGGATTAAGAAACTCACTCCAGTTCACACTGTGAGTGGATGCTAAGATTCCCGCCCAAGTTGGCTGGGTTCCAAAGCTAAGGTGCTTCCCCCACACTGCCTCTGATGGCAGAGGACAGCAGTATTAGCTCAGCTGCTGGGCCCACAGGCCCTGTAGTGGGCGTTCACATGGCACACTTCCAAGTGACTGGACAAGGACCTGTCAAGAGATGGTGTCGGCCTGCACATATAGCCGGTCCCGGTACATAGGTGTGGGGAGGTTGGTTTCGGGCAGTGCCCCCTGGAAGGGAGAATGGCCTTCGGCACATGTTATCACAGTATCTGCGAGTGTCCGTGAACGCGTGCAGATGCTGAGATTGCTGTGCCTGTGGGTTAAGAATGGATTGGGTTTGTGGTAAGTTTCCTGCCCACATTGGATTGGGGTTTGAGAATGCCGCGATCGGAAGCTCGCAGTGAAGGTGCACACAGACGCCTCAGGCAGAGCAGTGCTTATTAGAGAGCGCACCTTCGAGGTGTTTCCTTTGCAAGTAACAGACCTTCCTTAGGGATGTCCCTCTGATTTTAACTCTCCTCAACATTTAACAGCAGACTGTCAGTCACATCTTCCATCACTGTGCTGTTAATTTTGATTCATCTAAAAATTAGCGTGTAGCGTGTGAGCGTGTAGGTGAGTGAGAATGTGAGTGTGGGTGAGTGTAGGAAAATCTAGTGCCTCTTAAAGTATTTTGATTGAGGAAGGATACCTAGGGTCATATTCTTTTTTTAAGTTTAATTTATTGGGATGACATTGGTTAATAAAGTTACGTAGGTTTCAGGTGTACAATTCTACATCACATCATCTGCATAGTGTATTGTGTGTTCTCTACCCCAAGTCAAGTCTCCTTCCATCACCATTTCCCTCCCTTTACCCTCTTCTACCTCCCCCACCCCCTTTCCCTCTGGTACTCACCACGCTATTGTCTGTCTAAGAGTTTCTTCTTTTGGCTTAATCCCTTCACTTTTTTCACTCATCCTCCCAACCCCCCTCCCCTCTGACAGCTGTGAGTCTGTTCTCTGTATCCACGAGTCTGTTTCTATTTGTTTGTTAGTTTATTTTGTTCATTGGATTCCAAATGTAAGTGAAATCATGTAATATTTGTCTTTCTCTGATTGACTTATTTCGCTTAGCATAATGCTCTACAGATCTATTTATGTTGTCACAAAGGATAAGATTTCCTTTTTTACAGCTGCCTAGTATTCCATTGTGCAAATGTACCACAGCTTTTTCATCCACTCAGCTACTGATGGGCACTTGGGCTGCTTCCAAATCTTGGCTATTGTAAATAACACTGCAAGGAACATAGGGGTGCATACATTCTTTGGAATCAGTGTTTTAGTGTTTTTCAGATAAATTCGCAGAAGTGGAATTGCTGGGTCATAGGGCAGTTCCATTTTTAATTTTTTGAGGAAGCTTCATACTGTTTTCCACGGTGGCTGCTCCAATCTGCATTCCCACCGGCAGTGCAGAAGGTTCCCTTTCCTCCACATCCTCACCAGCAACAGCCATTCTGCCAGGTGGGAGGTGATAGCTGGCTGTGGTCTTCATTTACATTTCTCTGATGAGTAGTGATGTTGAGTGTCTTTTCATATGTCTATTAGCTATCAGTCTATCCTCTTTGGAGAAGTGTTTATTCAGGTCCTTTGCCCATTTTTTTAATTGGATTTCTTTCTGGTGTTGAGTTGTCTGAGTAAATTTTGGATGTCAATGCCTTATCAGATGTATCTTTGGTGAATATGTTCTCCCATTCAGTGGGTTGTCTTTTCATTTTGTTGATGGTTTCCTTTGCTGTGCAACAATTTTTAAGTTGCATGTAGTCCCATTTGTTTATTTTTTTTTCTTCTGTTTCCCTGGCACAAGGAGATATGTGAGAGAAAAATAATGCTATAAGAAAAGTCTGAGATTTCCCTGTCTGCTTCCTTCTAGGATTTTTATGGTTTCTAATCAAATAGTTAAGTCTTTAATCCATTTTGAGTTTATTCTTATATATGGTATAAGAAGGTGGCCTACTTCTGAGCCCTTAAATATTCAAAATATCTTTCTGGAGTCTTTACATATGAGCAATATCATAGCCGGGCACACATCCACCCCAAAGCTCATGACCTTTGCCTCAGAACCCCCAGCCTCAGCCCCTCGCCTTCTGATTCAGTGTCACCTGGGAAAGTCCGTGTGAAGAGCAGGCTGCCCCTTCATTGCAGGTAATGATCTTGCTGTCCCTTTGTGTTCTGTGAGGACACACACAGGCTCCATTGCTCCTGATGACCAAGCGCATCTGCACAACAGCGTTAGGAGCAGATCCTGGCTCAGCAGTTCTCTCTCATCACTTTGCTTCCATCACATCTCTAGACTGAGTTTTGTTGTTTATATTATTTCGCTTGGGACTTTCCTCATGAAAAGGCACTTTTAAATCTTAATTGCGCCCCTGTGCCTCATTCTTTCTCTCCCCTTTATCCTTCTACCTTCTCTTCCTTTTCTCCTCCTTCCTTTCCTGAGGCAAGACCCCTGGGCCTCCTGCTGGCAGCCTCGGGCTTGTCAGCCGCAGACCCCCACGCCCCACGCACGCACGGCAGCTCCTTCTCCGGGGCTCTGGCTGGCGCGGATCTTGTATTGCAGGAGTGAGAAAGCCCATTAATTTTGAAACAAATGTATGCAAATACATTTATTAATATAGGAAATAGGAAAATCAGTTATTGCTTCCTTTATAAATAATACAGGCTTAAGTTTTAAAGATATTACTTTTGCTAAAATGCATTAGACAGCTGTGAAAAAATAACATTTTTCTTTGTGGTAATATCTTTAACCAGATTTGTAGCACTAACAATATTTCCTATGTATATATTATTTTTATTTAATACAGGTAATCTTTTTATTACCAAATCCTATTGCTTCTCGGGAGGTTACCATCAGCTCTCATAAAGGCTGCACCAGGAGAGCGGGCAGGCGGGAGGGGCCTCTGTCTCCCGAGCCGAGGGCTGGAGCTGCAGATCCAACACACAAATGCGTCTGTGATGCGTTTCAGGGAGCCGCTCGGAGGTGCAGCCTATTTAAAAACACTCTCCCCGCTTTTGTTTCCATTTCTATTTGACTCAAGCGGTGGATGCAGCCTCTAGTTTCACCGGAGAGCACAGTGACCTTGGAGGAAGGCCCATCTGTAAGCGTCCCGCGTCCCGTGTCCTGCTTGGTCAGAGCAGCGGGGGCAGCGGGGTCTCTTGGTGTCCCTGCCCCTGTGCAGAGTGACCCGCCGATCTCACGGGATCCTCACACATGACTTGGAAAGTTGACCAGCAGCCCGATGCCCAGGTTGGCGCCTCAGGAGTATGTGCCAGGCCCCGGGTTCCCGGTGAACCCAACGAGACAGAGCAGGGCTTTTGGCAGTGCGACCAGGGCTCTGACCCAGTGCGGCCACCCACTGCTTTGTCAGGACCGGCTGAGCCTGCGTTCTGGTCCGCAGGTGAAAGTGCCGCTTCTCTCGGGGGCCAGTGCCCGCCGCAGGGCCGCGCAGCTTCGTGCAGTGCCCAACGCTGGCTGACGAGCCGAGACGAGGCCTGCCTCCTCGACCCTCATCCACGTGCAGCTGCCCCATTTCACTTAGGTATACAGGGGGGGACATTGGGTTACAGTTGTTCATATGAAAAATAATACAATCATTAATAAGTAATAATACAGGAATAAACTGTTCCGCGTACTCACTACTGTAAACCTCCTTTGCCAGCCCTGTATGCTTCCAGGAAACCTTAGGCTGCTGGAAAGTGAGGCAGCGGGGGGCGGGGAGGAACAAGGGGGGGGCGACTGTGTGGTTCTGCCCCCTTGTTCCTGGAGCCACGCGTGCGCTCTGCAGAAGCTGAAGGAGGCCCGGCCTTCCTGCCAGGCATGAGGGCTTTCCTAGGGGGCCCTGAACTGAGGTGGACCCAAAGCCCCTATCAGAAACCCTTTCCTGGAGCCCCTCTGCCCGCAGCGCCTCCATTCCTCCAACGGGGACCTCTCTGCCGCCTCTGAGCCCCAAGGCCACGTGCTGAATGAGAAGAACAGGGAATCGAAAAACTGCCCTAAGCTTTACCTGGTCCAAGCTCGGGCGTGCCTGCAGCCACCTGTGGAAGCGGTCCCTGAAGCAAGGCAGCCTTGGCTGGGCTGTAGTCCTCTTCTCATACACAGCGGCCATCCCTTAAAGGCCGCTGTGCCTCCAGCCTCCACCCCGACCTGCTCCCCCTCTCGGGCTGCTATGTTCCATGTCGCCATGCTAGGCCGATGCCCTGACCTGACCTGCTTCCTCCCCCCCATTTCTTGTCCTGTAGTTAGCACACAGCCGTCTTCTCTGTCCTGGGCTTGTGGACTCTCCAGGGGTCCACTTCTCCACGAAACCAACCCTGACTACACGTAGACTGTCTGAGCCACTCTCCGTCCTGCAGTTGGTTCTTTGGACCCTGTCCTTGCGCCCGATTCAGAGCTGGCCCTCAGCAAAGGCGGGGAGCGGTCAGACACATGGCCGTGGCCTCCTCTCTGGTCTGCCCCTTTATTCCAGTTGTCATTCATGCCTCCTCTGTGGAAGCTCCCAGCACAACCAGAGAACGTGGAGGGAATAGATGTGTGAGGAGCCATCACACGCATCGTGGACTAGGCCTGAGCGTGTGTGGGGGAATGAGTGACGAGTTCCAGTGGCATGGCCACGTCTCAGCCACAGATGGACAGATGGAGGCCCACACAGCAGTGCCGCACGGCCGGGTTCTCACTGTGGGCAGCTCTTCATGTCGCTCTTTTCCTCGCAGGGCGGGAGCTTTGATGTGGCAGACAGAATGTTCCACAGCGTGAAGGGCGCATGGGAGTCGGCCTCCAGAGAGAACATGAGTGACGTGCGGGAGCTGACCCCGGAGTTCTTCTTCCTGCCCGAGTTCCTCACCAACTGCAACGCCGTGGAGTTCGGTGAGCGGAGGCCTGGGAGGCGGCGGCTCTTCCCCACAACTCAGGGCTGTGTTACCATCTTTGCTGAGCAACACAGCCCACAGCCCCATCTGTGTGGATCTGCGTCCTGGACAGCACAGTGTTACACCCTGACTCCTAGTCTAGTTTGTGCTTCCATTTACCAAAGCCCTGCTGTGTCTCACCCCTCAGGCTGCATGCAGGACGGGACGGCACTGGGGGACGTGCAGCTCCCTCCCTGGGCGGATGGGGACCCTGGAAAATTCATCAGTCTGCACAGACAGGTGAGTTGAGCAGGGTCATGCCACAGTCCCAGAACCCTGCGTGAAGACCTCAGCATCCCTCGGTCTCCAGGGAGACTTTCTGGGTACTTGAGGGGCTCGCCATGAGCGCTTCTTAGGCCCTTTTGTCCAGGGAGCTCCTGCCCCGTTGGCCAGAGGATGCTTGGGCCTGAGTGCTTCCGAGAGCTCCAGGAGGCTTTGTCCTCGTGCCTTTTTCCTCGAGGGTCACCGGGGAAGCAAGTTCAGATTCCTGGATGCCCTGGAGGGCAAGTCAGTGTCTTCAGCAGCCCTGCAGGAAGGGCCACACCCTGGGCCAAACTTCCCAGGATAATTCAGAGAGGGGAGGCCCCGGAGGCCCCCACTGGCCAGAGGACTCACCAGGCCTGGGAGGACTTGGCTTTTTACCCTGAGAGGCTGATTGGGGAAGGGCAGAGGCCATTTATGCTGGGTTAGCGTTAACACATGAAGAAATGTTCAACATCAGTCGTCGGGGAAGCATACATTAAACCTGCAATGGGATGCCCACACACTCACAAGAATGGCTAAAAGGCAAAATACAGATAAAACCAGGAGTAGGCAAGAGCGTGAAGCAACCAGAATCCATCATGCGTTGCTGACAGGAAAAGCAAAGTAGTGCAGCCAGCTTGAAGAACACCGTGGCCATTTCTTAGAAAGGCGGGGTGCATTTGCTACAGCAATTCTCCTTGTGACTGTTTGCCCAAGAGAAGTGAAAATGTGTCCACAGGAAGTATGTACATGAGACTTCATCCATTTTACCCACACTAGTGAGAAACCGAACCTCACTAGTGTTTAGTGTTTATCAACTGGTAGAGGACCAACAGGTAGTAAACCTGGAGGGTGGTTCCCTGAAGGCCCCTTGGAGCCTGCCTAGGGTGGCAGCCTTTTCTTCAATGGCGCTTGTCCAAAACAATCAGAAACAATGAACACTGTGGCTGAAAGAGGCAGTAGATACTAATCAGCAAACGATATTGTGGCTAACTACAAAGCTTAAATGGGGAATGAGCTGTTTCTAGGAAGCCTTGAAAGAGTTAGAAATATCCCTGGGAACCTAGAAGGACACACATTGCAGGGCTGTTTTCATGCACAAGGTTGTGCTCCTGCTCAAGAAAGACCCACAATGGCCCTAGCTCTCACTTCCAGCTGACATCCAGGCTCAGTGCAAGTGAAGGGAAAGGCAGAGTTTGTCATTGTCTGGCTGAACATTGAAACCACTCCCTAACACTCAAAGAGAACCCCTTGTCCTAGCTGGTTCGGCTCAGTGGATAGAGCGTTGGCCCATGGACCAAAGAGTCCCAGGTTTGATTCTGGTCAAGGGCATGTACCTCACTTGCAGGCTAAATCCCCCACCCCAGGTTGGGCACCTGCAGGAGGCAACCAATAGCTGTGTCAGTCTCACATTGATATTTCTCTCTGTGTGTCATGTGTCTCTCTCCCTTACTTCCACTCTCTCTAAAAATCAATGGGAAAATATCCCCTGTAAGGATTAACGAGAGAGAGAGAGCACCTTGGCAGATTGCGACTGACTGGTTTAGAATATTTAAAGAAATCTTCGTCCACTTATTAGCTGACATTAAGCTAACAGAGCAGTGGCCACACACAACAAACATACAGACGTCATAGAACTCGTTCAGAAAGGTCACTAAACAAACAACCCAACAACAGCACCAACCACAACAAGTCCCAGGAGAGGGGAGAGTGATTTCCAGAATTGCCACACATATTATTTAAAGGCTTAATGTTCTGTAAGGCAGGCCAAGTAAAAGGAAGTACGGGCCACACAAAGGTGGGGGGGAAGCAGTCAACAGAACTACACTGAAGCAAGTCCAAACTTAGACAAAGACATTACATCAGCTATTGCAAATATGTTCCAAGAACTAAATAAAACCATGTCTAAAGAATTAAGGGGCAGTGTGATAATTACATCTTACCCTTAGAGAATATCAATAAAGAGATAAAAGTGTAGAAAGGAGGCAAATAGAAATTGTGAAGTTGAAAATGAACTAAAATGAAAAATTCAGTAGAGGAAATTAATAGCAGGTTTGAGCAGACATAAGAATCAGCAAACTTTAATTATAAATCAATTAAAAATATCAAGTCTAAGAAAAAAGAAAGAAAAATTAATGAAGAAAAATAAACAGAGCCTAGAGACCTGTATAATGCCATCAAGTATATTAACATACACATAGGGAACTACCAACAGGAAAGGAGAGAGAGAGGGGTAGAAAGAATATTTGAAATAATAATGTCCAAAAATATCCCAAATTTAGGCAATGTGTTAATTTATATATCCAAGACACTCAAGAAACTCCATGAAGGATAAACTCAAAGATATCCACACTCAGACACAACATAAACTGCCCATGATAAAGTCAAGGGAACCCAGGCTGGGGATGGAGCAGGTTGAAGTTACACTCACCACCTCCCAGGGCCACATGGGAATTGCAATCCTATATAATAAAGAGGGAATATGCAAACTGACCATCACTCCACCACAAAGATGGCTGTGCCCACAGGAGAGACGGGGTTTCCATAACACAAGATGGCTGCACCCACAGTGGAGGCCGAGTTCCCGTAATGAGCCTTAATGAGCAATCAGCAGGGACCTGAGGCTGCTCCCCATCCAGCACCCCCCTCCCTGTGGAGCTTGACAGGGGACCTCAGGCCACTCCCCCTGCCCTGGTGCCAGGCCAGGGACCTCAGGCCATGCCCCTTGCCTGGCGAGGCTTGACGGGGTACCTCAGGACGCACCCCCCGCCCTGGCACTGGGCCAGGGGACCTGAAGCCACACCCCCCACCCAGCAGAGCTTGACAGGGAACCTCAAGGTGCAATCCTCACCCAGTAGGGCTTGATGGGGGACCTCAAACCATGCCCCCCGCACCAGCGCCAGGCCGGGGGACCTCAGACCATGCCCCCAGCCTGGCGGGGCTTGACAGGGGACCTTAGGCCATGCCCCCCATCTGGTGGGGCTTGACGGGACCTCAAGGTGCACCCACTGGCCCGGAATGGAGGACCTCAGGCCATGTCCCCCCACCCCGGTGCTGGGCCAGGGGACCTCAAGCTACGCCCCCCGACTGGTGGGGCTTGATGGGGGAATCTCAGGCCACATCCCCCACCTGGCAGGGCTTGACGGGGGACCTCAAGGTGTGCCCCCTGCCCCGGCCTGGGGCCAGGCCAGGGACCTGAGGCTGCGACCCCGCTAGGCGGGGCTTAACAAGGGTGGAACCGGCCGGGTCTGGATCTAGCCCAATGGAGGTGGGGCCAGCTGGGTCTTTTTGAGGCGCACGTGGGTGGGCGGGGACTTGACTCTGGGCCCCATGATGCGCCCCAGACTCTGACAGGAGGGAGATTTTCATATACATTTTACTAATTTTCTTTCATCTCTGACACTTCTATTATAGAGAAATGGCAAATAGCAATATTAAAATATTTCCTCTAATTAATCCCCCTTTAATGTGAATGAATTTCGTGCACCAGGCCACTAGTTAAATTTTAAAAGAATCAACCTGAATAGCCAACTAAAGAGCAACTGACTAGAAGACTTACAAAAGAAGTCACATCTAGACTGGTAGGTAAGGTGGCGCTTCCCAAGCTGACTGCCTCTAGATGGGACCTGCGCTTCACCCCTCAGGAGCAGCTCCCACTGGGGACACCTGACAGGAAGCAGAAAGGATTTAGCGAGGGCACCCAGGCCTGCTCAACCCTTCATGGGTGCAGCCCCGTGGATGGTGCTGGCTCAGAGTAGGGCACCCAGGTGGGCAGTATTTCTCAACAGCTGCCACACAGGAGCAAGAGAAGCCATGGGGCAGTGCTTGCATGTCCTCGTTCACCCGAGATGTGGTACTGTGTCTGCTGAGCAGAGCCCAAGATCTGCCATCTCTCTCAATGACTTTAGCCTCTCACCTCTCAGTTCCTTAAGCTTCACTCTCCATGACTTTTACCTCCATATGACCTAAAGCCACCCTCTACCATAGGCACACATAACCCAAATGTAACTGCTCTGTCTTCAAAATCACTCACTCAAACATCCCAGTTGGTGAAAGCCACATCCTCACCTTGCTGGTACCTAACTACTTCCTACAATTATCCTCCCCACCCCCCACCCCCCACCCCCTGCAGTGCAGACAGTCCCTGTGCTAATCCTGTCTGCTTCCTGTCAGGTGTCACCATGATGGCAGGCAAGTGTGCTGAGAGCGGTGAAGTGTCTGTCCCAGGTGGAGGCTGTAAGCATAGAGACAGGCTCCATGGCCGAGTCTGGAGCATCTGTCCTCCTGCCTGGGGACAGAGAGAGAGCCTGCAAATGGACAGAATGTGCCTCAAGGCCTCGCACTGCACTCGCCCTGTAGGTGCAAGGGTGAGCTGCTCTTGCTGCTGCCTGCCCTGTAGGTTCAAGGGTGAGCTGCTTCTGCTGCCGCTTGCCCTGGGCTGCACAGGGCACCCCCATCAGGAGAGCTCACGCTCCTGGGGGCTGCGCTGCACCGCAGAGGCAGATTCTGGCCTTTCCTTCCAGGAATGACTTGGGAAGGCCCAGACCACAGTCAGTAATCCTAGTACTTGAGTGAAGTGGGATCTGCTCCGCCCTGTAGGTGCAAGGGTGAGCTGCTCCTGCTGCCGCTTGCCCTGGGCTGCACAGGGCACCCCCATCAGGAGAGCTCACGCTCCTGGGGGCTGCGCTGCACCGCAGAGGCAGATTCTGGCCTTTCCTTCCAGGAATGACTTGGGAAGGCCCAGACCACAGTCAGTAATCCTAGTACTTGAGTGAAGTGGGATCTGCTCAGCGAGGCAGGATACCCCTGTGGAGTTCTGAGGTCTCAGGGTTGGGGGCTGGGACAGTAGTTTCAAAAACCACATATGAGCCTGCCCAGAAGTGGGGTGATCATTCCTGCCAGTGAAAGGGGGTGCTCATGGGCAGACAACACACTTAAACCCCAAGCCGTGCCCGGTACCTGGTGGGTGATCATGGCAGCTGATACCACGTGGAGATCACTGTGCACCAGGCAGGGGCACACACTGGTCTGCAAGGACCCACTGAGAAGGCACGATCACCGTCACCGTTTTACAGACGAGGAAACTGGGGGACAGAGGCGTTAGGGAGCGTGAGCGGCAGTGCTGGCTCCTGTCCTCCTTGAGTGTGTCCTCCGCCCTGCAGGGCCTGGCCCCAGCCTCCCAGCGCTCCGTCAGTCAGCGCGCCCTTCCTCCTGGGTCAGATCGCAGCAGGCCTCTTCCGTTTGGCGATCGCTCTCAGGCCAGCTCCACATGGAGGTTCTGGTCCTCAGGGTTACTTTCCGGAGTAGATGAGTAGGTGGTGGGAACAGCCAGCTCTTTATAGCAGCTGGAGGCAGGAGTCGGGTGGTTCGTGGGTGGCCCGCACGTCTGCCCACTGAGAACTCGTCAAGTCCAGGGAGGCATCCCCCATTTCCTGTGAGAGCCAGTGTCCTGCACCCCGAACCTGTGCCGTCCTGGTCTGTGCAGTGAGCACATGAGCCTCTGGGAGGCCTGCGTTTTTCATGCTCTTTGGGCTTTGCTTCCAGGCTTTGGAAAGTGACTTCGTCAGTGCCAACCTCCACCACTGGATAGACCTCATTTTTGGGTACAAGCAGCAGGGGTCGGCCGCAGTGGAGGCGGTGAACACCTTCCACCCCTACTTCTATGGAGACAAAGTGGACCTCGGCAGCATTGGGGACCCCCTGATCAGGAACACCATCCTGGGGTTTGTCAGCAACTTTGGACAGGTGCCCAAACAGGTACGGCATGCCATGTCCTTTGTCTTCCTTTGTCAAATAAGTGTTCACAGCGTTGGGGGGGAGAGAGGACGTTTTCTCCTGGGATGGGAGCGACAAGAAGACAAGAGGACCAAACAGGCAGGTGGTCTCCGATCACCCTCCTGTGCCTTCAGCGTCAAGGCTGGCCCTCAGTGGCATGGACGATGAAGGTGATGACAGTGTTAACGCTAATGTGAAGGCTACATTCAGCTCCGATGCATCTGAGGGCACTATGATAGACCCACAGGACTTAATTCTTTATGTGCATCCGCCCCCAGAGCGGTTGTGAAGATCCAATGAGTGAAGGCATCAAAGGCTCGGGCATCCCTGAGATATGGTTAGCACTGAACAGTGTTACTCATTAGTGTGGTGGCCTCACTGAATTCTTCCATAAGCTCTGTGTAAGGAGTCATTCTTCCACAGATGTGGACACGGAGGCTCAGAGTAAGTAAGTTGCCTACAATGGCACCATGAGCAGGTGACAGAGGGAGAGCTCTGGCCTCATCTGGCTGCTCCAGAACCCAGGTCGCATGGCCCCCGTGAGAGGCACCTCAGCCTGCCCTGGGCCCTGGTGGGGCTGCAAGGTCTCACGTGGGCCTGTGCCCCGCTGGCCCCACCCCTCAGGACAGTCCGGGGCAGTGTGGGCTGTGCATCAGGTGGGCACCCGATGAATGGCGTGCGGGAGAGTGAAATAGTTGTTTACGTGATGCTCGCTCTCTGGGTTTCCGCTTCAGTTCAGTGTGGAGAAATCTCACCCCTGAGCTCAGAAGCCTGGCCCCCAGCCTGGCCCACCCGGGCAGTCAGAGGTCGCCCTGAGGACGGAATGCACAAGACCGCCAATTCCAGGACCATCCTGGGAGCGCCTGCCTCGCAGGAGAACTGGATGGGCTCCTCTCAGTTAATGCGAAACAAATGAGCTCTCTCCTGCCTGGTCATGGGGTCAGGCTTGTTTGCTCGGCTCCTGGTGAGGCGTGTGGAAGGCCCGAGGGGGCCTTGGACAGCGGGACGGCTGGCGCACCCAAACGCGGGTTCTCAGGGAAGGCTTGCGGGAAGGAGGGCCTCTCAGGAGAGAAGCTTGGGTAGCCTGATTTTATTTCTTTCATTTAAAAATTAGAATAATACAGATAAAGCAATGAAATAATTCAAAATAGCAGTCGCCCCCACCTGTGTTCTGTGTTATATACTCATAGGCCTTGATCACAAGGAAAAGTGTGTTCACGTTAGTGATCGTGGAGTGCACACACTTTCAGATTCTGATTTTACTTAATGGCTTTTCATAGAGCTTGTACAAATATTTCTAAGTAATTAGTGGAATTAGGATTCCTCATGCGGTCCCCTCTGAAGACTGTGCACTGTCCCACCCAGCGGGGCGCCTGCTGACGCGTGCCAGGGCCACGTTGGTGGCTCTGCTGGGCAGGGAGGAGTTCCATAGTCAATGCTCACGTCAAATCACCTCTGGTTTCTGTCTCTGCACCACCCACCCAGCCCTACAAGGTAGCTCAGCACCTGAGGGAGGACTTAGCAAAGCCGGGGCCAAGGCTGCTCCGAGGCCCAGTGGCCCACTGAGCCCCACCTGTGCCCGGGCGCCCCTCTGAGGCCAGCCCCTACCTCAGCCCTGGCATCCTGGCATTGGGCATCCTGGCACCCAGCAGGAACTCGAGCACGGAGGGCCCGGTGGCCGGCTGGCACTGGCCTCGGCCACACCCAGGCCCAGTGAGGGTTCTGCAGGCAGCGAGCCTTTGCCCTTCCTGCTTTGCCTGCTTATGCCAAAAGGTTGGCATTGGGGACAATTGGACAATAGAAATCCAAGAAAAAGAAATAAGAAAGTCCACTAGTGGGGTCTGCCTGTGCTCTTTGAAATACTCAAACTCCTGATGCCAGGAAGGTGTGCTGCCCAGAGTGTCAGGGGAGGGAACCCAGGGGAATTGCTCCAGCAGATGGGGAGGGCGTGGTCTGGAGGGGAAAGCGCCCTCTGGCCCTGGGTGAGAGGCAGCTCCGGGGCAGGGCCCCCAGTGAGCTTGTCCTTGTCCCAGGCGCCTGGGGAGCAGCCAGCCCGCAGCCAGTGGAGCTGTGCCCGCCAGCCCTGCACTGTGGCCTTGAGAGGAACCGCTGCTCGGACCGCAAGCCCCTCGTCTTAGCATCCCAGGGTTCAGGCAGGTGCTTCTGTTTATGCTGATGATGCCCCTGAGCACAGGGCCAGGCCAGGCGCACGGAGCAGAGGCGTGGCTGCTACTTGACGTGGCCAGCTTTTCCTCTGGCGTTGGCCCTAACGTCTGTCCCCGTGTCTCTCCAGCTCTTCACCAAACCCCACCCGGCCCGGACGGCGGCAGGGAAGCCCTCACCTGGAAAGGATGTCACCACACCTTCGAGCCTGCCGGGCCACCCACAGCCCTTTCCCTGCAGCCTGCAGGCCCTGCGGCCCTCCCAGGTCACCGTCAAAGGTGAGCACGGGCCCTGCTTGCTTTGGTTCTGGTTCCACAGTTGTCCCTTCAGGACCAGCTCCTCTGGGGCTCAGGACACAGACGGGGGCTCCGTCTGACTGAGTCTGGGGTCGAAGCAGGAACCTGGGGAGGCGTCTGCTCAGAGAGGAACTCTGTCCAAGATGAGCTCCATCAGACCTGTCTGTCCATGTGTGCGTGTATCTCTGAGACACCCTCACTCATGTACACACACACTCCCCTCTACTCTTTCATGTACACACACACACAACCCTCTCTCTCTTTCTTGTACACACACACACCCCTCTCTCCCTTTCATGTACACACATGTACACACACACACTCCCTTCTTTCTCTTTCTTGTACACACACACACACACACACATAACCCTCTCTCTTTCATGTACACGCACACACACCCTCTGTCTCTTTCATGTACACACATACCCTTTCTCTCTTTCATGTACACACGCACACACACACATACACACACACACCCTCTGTCTTTCTCTCACACACACATACCCTCCTCGCTTTCAGAGCTGAGTGGGGAGGCCCCAGGTTTCCCAAGGGAGGGTTGCAGCCACCCTCTCTCTCTTTCATGTACACGCACACACACCCTCTGTCTCTTTCATGTACACACATACCCTTTCTCTCTTTCATGTACACACGCACACACACACATACACACACACACCCTCTGTCTTTCTCTCACACACACATACCCTCCTCGCTTTCAGAGCTGAGTGGGGAGGCCCCAGGTTTCCCAAGGGAGGGTTGCAGCCTCCTGGCCGGGTACCTGCAGTCATCGCTACTCCTGGCACCAGGTGGGCTGCAGCCCATTAACAGGAGGACGTGCTGGGCCTGATGGCCTGGGTGTGGGTTCCAGCCCGTCATTTCCCAGAGAAGCTATGTGTGAAGTCTGATGTCTGTGCCCCCAGGGACATGCACTGACCTGGGAAATACCACTGCACGGAACATTCTGATCCCGGGGAGTATGTGTGTGTGTGTGTGTGTGTGTGTGTGTGTGTGTACATGAAAGAGAAAGAGGGGTGTGTGTGTACATGAAAGAGAGAGAGGGGGGTGTGTGTATGTGTGTACATGATAGAGAAAGGGGTGTGTGTGTGTACATGAAAGAGAGAGAGGGGTTTGTGTGTGTATGTGTGTATGTGTACATGAAAGAGAGGGTGTGTGTGTGTGCATGAAAGAGAGAGAGGGGTGTGTGTGTGTGTGAGTGTGTTTATATTGTAGTTTTTCCATTTGAAGTCCCAGAACAGTGTGCTTGTACACCCAGCCCTGCTAGATCTGGTGCCTGGGAGGGCAGGTAGGACAGAACCCCAAGGCTCCTATGGCTTTGTGCCATCTGGCTCCCAGCCATGGCCCCTCCTCCCCTGCTGCCATCCCTGAAGAGACACTAACAACCTGCAGGGCCACCCACAGCCCTTTTCCTGCATGGCCACACTCTGAGCTCATTGGCTTAGTCAGGGCGGAACTGGCCAGGGGACAACCTCAGGCCAAGGGACACCCTCAGGCCAGGGAACAGCCTCGGGCCAGAGAACAGCCTCAGGCCAGGGAACAGCCTCAGGCCAGGGAACAGCCTCAGGCCAGGGAACAGCCTCAGGCCAGGGAACAGCCTCAGGCCAGGGAACAGCCTCAGGCCAGGGAACAGCCTCAGGCCAGGGAACAGCCTCAGGCCAGGGAACAGCCTCAGGCCAGGGAACAGCCTCAGGCCAGGGAACAGCCTCAGGCCAGGGAACAGCCTCGGGCCAGGGAACAGCCTCAGGCCAGGGGACACCCTCAGGCCAGGGAACAGCCTTGGGCCAGAGAACAGCCTCAGGCCAGGGGACAGCCTCAGGGCCAGGGGACAGCCTCAGGGCCAGAGGGCACCCTCAGGGCCAGGGAACAGCCTCAGGGCCAGGGGGCACCCTCAGGGCCAGGGGACAGCCTCAGGGCCAGGGGACACCCTCAGGGCCAGGGGACACCCTCAAACCCAGGTGACACCCTCAGGGTCAAGGGACACCCTCAGGGCCAGGGAACAGCCTCGGGCTAGGGAACAGCCTCAGGCCAATGAACAGCCTCGGGCTAGGGGACAGCCTTGGGTCAGGTAACAGCCTCAGGCCAGGGACCAGCCTCGGGCCAGGGGACAGCCTCGGGCCAGGGGATAGCCTCGGGCCAGGGAACAGCCTCAGAGCCAGGGGGCACCCTCAGGCCCAGGGGACACCCTCAGGGCCAGGGGACAGCCTCAGGGCCAGGAGGCACCCTCAGGGTCAAGGGACACCCTCAGGGCCAGGAAACAGCCTCAGGGCCAGGAGGCACCCTCAGGGCCAGGGGACACCCTCAGGGCCAGGGGACAGCCTCAGGCCCAGGGTACACCCTCTAGCCCAGAGGACACCCTTGGGGCCAGGGGGCACCCTCAGGCCAGGGAACAGCCTCAGGGCTTGGGGGCACCTCAGGCCAGGGTCTAGGTGGCCCCTGGAGTGAGGCTAGGACAGAGGTGCCTCAGCCAGTGGTTCCTGCCAGGGCATGTGCTGTGCTGAGTCCAGTTGCCTGCCCTGGCTCCTTTGGGATCACAGATAAAGGGGTGTGGTCGTTTAATGTGTGAGCTCCTCCATACTGACTGGGGGGCAGATATGTACCTTTTCTCTCTAGGCTCAGAGTCCCCCAAAGGCGCCATCGGCCACATCGTCCCCACCGAGAAGAGCGTCCTGGCCGTGGAGAGGGGCAAGCTGCTGCTGCCGCCCGCCTGGAGCAGGACCTTCTGCTGGGGAGCCGACGACCTCAGCTGCTGCCTGGGCAGCTACGGCTCCGACAAGGTGAGGGCCAGGCTGGCGGCCTAGTGATGGGACAGAGGTGTCAGGTGGGCGAGCCGAACGCAGGCAAGTCCCTGTGCCCCTGTCCCCCACATGGCTGTGCCCAAGCCGGAGTGAGAGGGGTCATGTGACTGTGCCAGGGCCCTCGTGGGCTGAGCCTCCGACCACATTCCGAGGAGTGAAGCTCACGAGTTAGTGCGAATCATGCTTGTCTCCCTCAGGTCCTGATGACGTTCGAGAACCTGGCTGCCTGGGGCCGCTGTCTGTGTGCCGTGTGCCCGTCCCCCACAACAATCGTCACCTCTGGGGACAGCACTGTGGTCTGCGTATGGGAGCTCAGTATGGCCAAAGGCCGCCCCAGCGGCCTGCACCTCAAGCAGGTACCATACCTCAGGCAGGAGTGGGGGCCTGGGCAGGTGTAGTCCCTAAGGCAAGTGTAGCCCCTAGGGCAGGTGTAGCCCCTAAGGCAGGTGTAGTCCTTAGGGCAGGTGTAGTCCTAGGGAAGGTGTAGTCACTAGGGCAGGTGTAGGCATAGGGCAGGTGTAGTCCTAGGACAGGTGTAGTCCCTAGAGCAGGTGTAGTCCTAGGGCAGGTGTAGTCCCTAGGGCAGGTGTAGTCCTAGGGCAGGTGTAGGCATAGGGCAGGTGTAGTCCCTAGAGCAGGTGTAGGCCTAGGTCAGGTGTAGTCACTAGAGCAGGTGTAGGCCTAGGGCAGGTGTAGTCACTAGGGCAGGTGTGGTGCCCAGGGCAGGTGTAGTCCCTAGGGCAGGGGTGCCCTGGGCAGGTACAGGCCCTCACATGCCCCAACAGGGAGGTATGGAGGTGGCACCGGCTCTGGGTCATGGAGGGCACCATTCTGTGCCCAAGGTGGATTTAACAATGAGAGGGTCTGCATGCACATCAGCACCAGTGACTCTGGTGTCCTGCCCTTGGGACTTGTGGGGGCCTCTTCCCTGGCACTTCTCTGTGGGCAGCCGCATGCTCCCCTCCACAGCCCTGTAGGTGCTGTGTCATCCCTGCACACGGGGTGGGGGGAGAGGTGCAAGGAGCTTCCATGACTCATCCAAAGTCGTGGCGCCAGGAAATGAAAGGAGGAGGAGCCGTGGCAGGGGGTGAGCAAAGCAGCCGGGGTGGTGGGCGGCAGAGGACTCCTGGTCCCACCTCACCAGGCACCGCCATGCACAGGGAAGGGCAGGCACCACTGCTTCCAGATGACCTGCACCCGACCCTGATCTTGTAGAGCAGGTGGTGTTGTTCTACTTTCAGAACTGCATTCCAGTCCAGGTCTGTCCAACTGTGAGCCCCACGCTCTCTCCCTGTGCGCTCTGGAACCTGCCCAAGATCCCGGGTGGCACTTCCCACTCTAAAATGCAATGTTGTCTGATGTCTGTTTGGTCATTGGCCATGTAGCCCTAACGTAGCAAAACCAAAGCTAATCACACACAGCTGACCACTGACCGATTTCCTAAGTGGGACACATTTCCCAGGACGTGATCTGGGTTCTCTGTGTGTCCAGGCCACCCTGGCACCCCTGTGGTGCGCGGTGGCCCTCGGTAGCCATGCGGAGGGATGTGCTGGGGCTGCACTGGGGCGGGTTCGTCCAGCAGAGGTGGCGGCACCCTGAGGGGCAGCGGGCAGTGAGGGCAGGGGAGCCCTCTGCACAGCGTGGTGCTCCTGCCTGCCCCGGTGCACGGTACTCCTTCCTTCCCATCCGCTGCTGTGGCCCAGGGCTGCACTCTATTACAGAGCGAGGTGAAGACTGCAGTGCCCTGTGGACTGCCCCCTCTCCCAGGCCCCACTCAGGAATGGCGAGAGGCACAGCCCGACCCCAAACTGGCGTGGGGGCCGGGGAAGCAGCCCTCTCCCGCAGCCCCGGGCCCCCTCAGGAGTGAAATGCTCTGTGGAGTCCACCGACAGCGTAACATGGAACTGACCCTCCTCTCCCCAGATTTGTCAGGAGGAAAAGGTGTGGGCCATCCTTCTAGGCAAAGTCAAACCCGTACCAGGGCCTTGGGGCCCCAGACTACCAGCTGCTGAGCAGCGCGGTCTGTCCCCAACCGGTAAACAGAGAAGTCATCGTTAAATAGCTCCACAGACAGATTTTGAAATTGTTTTATTTTAAAGGAGATTACACCGTTAAAGACAAATTTCAAATTCACTTCAAAGCAGAATGATTCCCTATAATCCCCATAGAAGCTGTCACTGTTGCCTGCGTCCACCCAGGCACACATCCATGCCATCCTGACCGTTATGTGTGGTAAACAGAGAAGTCATCGTTAAATAGGTCCACATACAGATTTTGAAATTGTTTTATTTTAAAGGGGATTACACCGTTAAAGACAAATTTCAAATTCACTTAAAGCAGAATGATTCCCTAAAATCCCCATAGAAGCTGTCACTGTTGCCTGCGTCCACCCAGGCACACATCCATGCCATCCTGACCGTTATGTGGATGTGTTTAGTCCGCGTCCACCCAGCCTATCAGATTGGTTTTGCTTTCCTACAGTCTCTATAATTCACATTCATTTGTTCCCCAAGATTTCATTTCCATGGGATTACATTTCAGTTGGTCCATGGCACCCACCACAGTCCCGTCAGCCACTGTTTCCAAGCGTGAACGGATTGAACAGGCGGCAGGCCGCATCCTCCGCAGGTGGCTGATCGCTTCTGATGAATTGTTTCCTTGAGATGCGTTTTCAGACGCGGAACTGGAGCAGTGACACGCTGCTCGGTGGCAGTCCCATTGCTTTGCGGTGCCTCCACGCTTAGCTAGGAGGGCCCGGCTCACCACAGCACCCAGCATGAAGAAGCATTTCCAGAGGCCTTCATTTATTTAATGTTTGCGACTTCACTTCGGTACAAGATGACATAATGAGGCTATTTTAACTGACGGTGGAGAGAGGTGTAAGTCTGAGGAGCAAAGGAACTGGTCGAGGACACATTGAAGGTGCCGCCCTCTCTGGTTTCCCAGGCCTCTCCAGGGGCCGGTGCTGCTGCCTTTGTGGGTCGGGGTGCCTGTGTGTGCTCTCCCCAGAGAGCAGCAGCCCGGCCCCACTAACCCGCACGTGCGGGCTCAGGCTTCTCTCTCAGAACCCCAGCCTCACTCCGGCCACTGGTCACTCTTTGGAGTCACTGTGTCCCCTGTGGTCAGAACTGAGTCATCAGACTTAGCTCACCCTGGGAAGAAGCCAGAAAGCTCACGCCAAACCCCCCACTTTCCTCCATTCAGACGGTTTCTGTGTTCCCTAACGACCCAGATCCTCCGTGGGCCACGCCCAGAGCCTTCCAGCACCATCCGGTGGGGCCACGTTAAGTTCCACTGAGGACACGGAAATCTGAGGCAGAACTTTTCATTGCTGTGACCAGGCAGGTGACAGCTTTGACCCAAATGAGCATGGTCTGTTCTGAAGATGGAGGTTTACCACCAGGGAAGCGGTGACCACATCTCAGATGGCCACCTCCGCATCTGGTTCCGGAGGGGAGAGGCACGTGCGTGTGCAGCAGCTTCACACCACCCACCCGAGCCTCTGGTGGTTGTGACCACGCCTATGCCAGTAGCGCTTCCCAGCTCCTGGCACGTGTCTCTAGAGAACAAGCCCTCTGGCCAGATCTGGACACATAACCATCCATGAACCAGGCCTGACCCTGCACAGGCCAACCTGAGGGGCTGAGACCAGGTTGGAGTCACCCACTGCCACATGGCCGACTGGCTCTGAGCCTGGCTCCATCGGACTTGAAAAGTCATCCCTGTTAACTATGACCTAAGCTCCCTGCTTTCTTCAGGGTCGCTGTGTTTCTGGGGTCCCTCAGTGTGGTGCCCAAACTTGTGTGCGTGAAAGCTCCCTGGAGGGTTTGTGAAGACCTGGGGTGGGCTCCATGGCGTTTCTAAGTCGTAGTCTGGGAGAGGGGCCGAGGGTCTGCCCGTGCAACCAGCTCCCAGCGATGTGTACGCTGCCGGCTGGGGTGCACGTAGACAGAGCCCTTGAGACACATACAGGGGACAGAGCACAAGTGCTGCCGCCTCTGCTGGGTTATGATAAAGGGACACTGCTCCTCCCAGCTGGGCCTCAACCCGGGGACGGACGGAACTGAGGGCAGCCATGTGTGCACGCACACTCACACACACTCACACTCACACACTCACACTCACACACAGGCAGGTGCCTCCCCCCCACACACGGTCTCACCCACACAGTCACATACACACACTCATACACACCTTCACACACACACAGGCACACACATACATACACACACTCTCACAGAGTCACACACATAACATACACACTCAAATGTACTCATACACACATACTCTGATATTCACACACATAGTTACACACACCCTCACTCACACTCATACATTCTCACATACACACACATACTCATACTCAGACACACACACACACACACACTCACATATACTCACTTAATCAGACACACACACACACTCTCACCCTCACATGCTCTCATACATGCACATAGCCACACACACTGTCACCCTCACACGCTCTCATACACACACATAGCCACACATACTAATATACTCACACACGTTCACACACACACTTTCACACTCACACACATTCACACACACACACACACACACACATGCTCTCATACACACACATAGCCACACACACTAATATACTCACACACATTCACACACTTTCACACTCACACACACACACACACACACACTCACATACCCCGCAGGCTCTGGAATCACTGAATCACTCCACCTCTGTTCCCTCATGTGGGGCCAGACAGTAAAAGGAAGGGTAGAGCATCTCACCAAGCAGCTGTATTGCTGGTCCCTCCCCTAACCTGTGGTCCTGTCTCTTGTCCCAGGCCTTGTACGGACACACCCAGGCTGTCACCTGCCTGGCAGCATCAGCCACCTTCAGCATCCTGGTGAGCGGCTCCCAGGACTGCACCTGCATCCTGTGGGACCTGGACTACCTCACCCACGTGGCCCGCCTGCCCGCCCACCAGGAGGCCATATCTGCCGTGGCCATCAGCGACATCTCGGTGAGGCCCCCTTTCTCAACATCTGTGTCCTTGACATGTCTGTGAGCCCGGCTGTTTGCATGGTAGATGGTGCCCTCGAGAAACCCAGGGGCTGAGCACCCGGAAGTTGAGAGTGCCCCAGATGTGCGGAGCATTCTCTACACAGGATGGGGCCATTAGCATGTGCAGCACGGGGGTCTAGGTTTCATTCTGTGCTTCCTTCTCTTCTCCCTTGGGGTAGCGGGGGCAGTGGGAGGTCTCTGTTCTGGCAGTGGGACCATGGAGTGTGGCAAGAGGTTGGCTTTGGTGAAGAGTCTGCTGAACTTACTAATTCAGCTTGTTGCCTGCAAATCAGTGGTGACTCAGCAGGTGCCTCTGGTCTCCATGGCAGGAAGTGCTGTTGTCTCTCCATGCTGGCTGCCTATGGGGAAAGTGTGTGTGTGTGTGTGTGTGTGTGTGTGTGTGTGTGTG